AGCCAACATGCTATAATTTCTTTCCCCTCGCTGTCGCTTCACTTTTCTGCACCCACTTGCTTTCTCTGCCTCCCCTCCTTTCATTCTGTTGAACACAACCCACATGGGCTTCCCCCTCCGCCTGTTGAACTTGTTTTTGTCAGTATCAGCACTGACTTCCATGTTGCTAAGTGATCATCTTACGTCATCAGCACCATCGGCACCATTTAACACATTTGACAACATCTCCTTCTTGAAATACTTCCTTTCCTTGACTTCTAAAACAAAATTCTCCCTTGATTGTCCTATTTCCCTCCTCCTTACTTTGTGCCCTTAGCTGTTCCTCCTAGTCTGCCTGACCCCTGACTGCTGGCGTGCCCCAGGGCACAGTCCTCTTCTCTGCTTTCTGGATACTCACTCTGAGGGCAATTTTATTCCTATAGCTACAATGATCACCATTGTGCTGAAGACTGCCAAATTTTTACCAACCCAGGAACTCCACATCATGCATCCATCTGTCTAATCTACAGTGACGTAGATGTCCACGACGTATCTCTCATTAACTATGTCTGGAACCAGGCTTTTGGTTTCCTGCTTCTTCAGTAGTCTTCTCCATCTTGGAGAATGGTCCCTCCATCTTTCCTGCTGCTCAGCCCCCCAAAGCATGGAGGTGTCCTGGACTCTTCTGTCACAGTCCCCATCTAATCCGGGAGAAAATTCTACTGCCTCTTCCCTCCAAACACATCAAGAGTTTCGCTCACCACTTCTGCTGCTACTAGCCCAGTTCAAACCACAACCACCTATTTTCTGTATTATTGGAACCGCCTCCTTGGTTTCTCAGCCTCAATCCTTGTCTCTCCATATTGTGCTGTCATCACAGCTGTTAGAATAATACATTAAGAAAGTAAATCAGAATGTGTTACTCTCCACCTAAAATTTCCCCATGACTTTCCATTTTCTCCAGGATCAAAGTCCTTGCAATGGTTGACTAGGTGTTATACAAAGAAACATTCTGATACCTTACTCTTCAAATCTCAGCCTCCACTATTCTCCCTCTCTCACTGATTCTAATCCAGCACTCATGTAAAACATTCTGTAACTACACTGTTAAAAATTTGTACCAAAAATACGTGAAAAAATAAAGGACTGTTTTATATTAGTTTGCTTAACTCATATGTATATATAGCAGGAAGATAGATTAACCTCAGCAGTTTGAGATTGCTGTGAGGCAGTGAGCTATGACGATGCCACTGCACTGTAGCCCCTAGTGAAACAGCCAAACCCTGATATCATACTCACTGTCACAAATAATATATATATATGTTTGTATTAATATTGTCTCTCTGGGCGGGACACCCATAGCTCAGTAGTTAGGGCATCAGCCACATGCTCTGGGGATGGTGGACTGGAACCCAGCCTGGGCCTAGTAAACAAAAACACAAAACAAAAAGCTGGACGTTGTGGTGGGCGCTGTAGTCCCAGGTACTAGGGATGCCTTGAGCCCAAGAGTTTGCCCGAGAGTTTGAGGTTGCTGTGAGCTATAACACCACAGCACTCTACCAAGGGTAACAAAGTGAGACTCTGTCTCAATTAAAAAATATATAGGAAAGGAAGAGAAGGAAAGGGGAATCATGGCAGCTATGGTTTGCAGTGTTCTAGGGAGGAAAAAGGTGATAAGCTTGGTAATGGCTTCTGTCTGTTTCACACATCCTGGCCCTCACTCAGTGCTGTGGAGCAGAGGTTGTTCACAGTATAAACAGGTACCCAGCAATGAGGACATGCCTGTTGCGATGGAAAATCCTTATAAGGAGCCTCTTAGGAAATGTATCTTGTGTGGAAAAAGTATAGATTATGAGAATGTACAGCTTTTGTCCCAGTTTATTTCTCCACTTGCTGGATGCACTTATGGAAGACACATAACAGGTCTTTGGGGGAAGAAACAGAAAGAAATCACAAAAGCGATTAAAAGAGCTCAAATAATGGGGTTTATGCCAGTTACATATAAGGATCCTGTGTATCTCAAAGACCCTGAAGTTTGCAACATCAAGTATTGGGAATAAGGGACATGTTACCACCAATAAACTT